AGGGGGGGGGGGGGATTTACTTTGCAAACCTCCTATTTCATGCAAACGATAGAAACCACCATCAACCAATAGAATAATTTCATGTTTTTCTCTTTATTTTTAATAAATAAGGGTATGAATGTCAGTTTACTTTATAATAGATAATTTTGGTAAGGTTATAATTGTTTTTAAATATGGAAGATTAAATAGAGTAACTATTTTTAATTATATAACTATTACCATTAATATTTTATATTCTTTTATTAAATTAAAAATACTACATCAATTACAAAGTCTATTTGTAATAATTTATTTCTTATTATTTCATTGTCATGATAAAAAAAAGAATCGGCATTTTTTTTTTTCAATTCACAAGTAGTTACTGATTTATTAATAATATAGTTGTGAGAATTTCCAGATTTTGAGTATATTGTTTTGTTTTCATTCGTAAAACAAATGTCATTAATGAAACCATGTTATACAGTTTTCAAAAAGGTTCAAAAATGAAACTAATTTCATTTTGGTTAGGAACCATGAAACTATTTTCATTAATGAAATAATAGTATTCTGGTCTTGAAATGTTTCATTGACTAAACCATATTTGTATTCATTAATAAAACCAATTTCATCTTGGCTATAACCCATGAAACCGATTCCATTTTGGTTAGAAAACATGAAACAAATTTAAAAATGAATGAAATATTAGTATTCAGTTCTTGAAATGTTTCATTGGCTGAACAATATTTAGTTTCATATGTAAAACCGAGTTCATCTTGGTTAGAAACCATGAAACCAATTCCATTTTGGTTAGAAACATTTCAACAAATTTTACTGTTGAAACAATGTCATTCAATTTTTGGAATTGTGGAGTCCATGAAACCAATTTCAATGATGAAACGAATTTCATTAACGAGAACATGTTATTCAAATTTTTGGAAAATGTTTCATTGACTGAACCAAATGTGGCTCAAATTTTATTATGCAGACGAACAATGAAACCAATTTTACTAATGAAAAAAATGAGATACAGTTTCAAAAATGTTTTTATTGATGAAACCAATTTCACTAACGAAAAATGAGATACAGTTTTCAAAATGTTTTTATCGATAAAACCAATTTCCAAAAATGAGACGAACAATGGTTTGCCAATTTTGCCCTTTCTTGATTAAATATTAAACCTTTTATTTTTTTACTTTCCTAATATAACACATTTTAATTATGATCATTGATCAAGAAAATTGATGGATGAGATTGGTTTGTAGGATTTGCACAAATGGTGGTGGTTTGCATTTGATCGCTCATCTCTCTCTCTCTCTCTCTCTCTCTCTATATATATATATATATATATATATAGGGTATATTTCTTTTACAACCTTGTGTATTTATACAACCTTTGTAACCCAATTAATTGAGATATTTATAGAAATGATTGGAGTTCATTTATTATGATTTGAATATTTATAAAATATGAATAGAGTTTATTAATTATGATTAATACTTTATATTAGGAAACAATTAATTGATTAAAAATTGAATGGTTGAGATGAAGGTTGTATAGGGTGTAGGAATGGCAAATGGTATAGAATAACATCCCTCTCTCTCTCTCTTTCTCTCTCTCTCTCTCTCTCTCTCTATATATATATATATATATATATAGGCCTAATCAAATGAGAACTAATTAGTTTGTAGTAACCGTGAAGTTCAATACCAACCACAAATCAATAGATAAATTAGGAAATCTGTAATTTTGGTAATTTTGAATTAAAATTTCAATGGAAGGACATTGTAGGTATTTTAAAACTCTCATATCTCCTCTCTCCGTCCCCTGTCATCCGGCCACCGTCCTTCGGTGATACCATAGTGGTATCACAATGCATCTTATATGTGTTTGGGTATCACACTGAGGTCGTTTGTGTGGTTGATCAGAGATGTAACACACTGGTATCACAATGCATCTTATATGTGCTTAGGTATCATACTGTGTCTTTTATTTAACAGAGTCAATATTTTTAGGTATCACAATGGTATCATCGGAGGACGAGGGACGGAGAGAGAAGAAAGAATAGAGAAGAGAAAATATCTAAAATGTCCTTGCATTAAAATTTTAATTCAAAATTACCAAATTTATAAATTTCCTAATTTATCTATTCATTTTGTGGTTGAGATTGGATCTCACGGTTACCACAAACTAATCAATTCTCCCTTGAATGAGCCCCTGTATATAGGCCTAATCAAATGAGAACTAGATAGTTTGTGGTAACTGTGAGGTCCAATATGAGCCAATTATTTTAGATAATTAATGTTATTTATTAAAAATAAAACAAAAGGTAAATTAGTAAATTGTGTTGATGAACACACACAAACACACAAGAACCAAATCCGGTGGCCTTCTCCGGCACCCACCTAATTTCAGAACGGTGATCTCTTGTATATTCTTCATGGATTCAAGCTACGATTTTGATCTATTATATGTCACTCCCTAATCTGATCTTAAAGTTTCAAGCTCTGAGCTTCAAAGTTTATTCAACGAGGTTTGCAAAGACAAATGTTTGTTTTAACGACTGTTGTGCGCAGTTGTGAGAAAACATGCACAACTCACTCAATTTTCATCCAAAATGTATGAATCCGAGATTGATGAAAAGCTAAGAGTGTGATGAAAAGCTAAGAGTGTGGAGTTCAATGTTTATGTTTTGTGTTTTCTCTCAATGAATCTACTTGATAGTCAAAAACAGTGATGAAGTTGACACATGAAAGCTGGGCATAAAGTTTAAAATGCCTCAGTTTTTCAACGACATATTGTATTTTGGGCTTGGTCTTTGGCTTTATCCTTATAATGGACACCTATATATATGGTGCCTTGGATCCTAGAATCAATTGAGAGATTTTAATCAGCTCATTCCTCTATGTGCTAATTATGTAAAAATCTAATATGAGGATGACTAATGTGATTTCTCCACTCCATGTATACCTCTAATTTGTTTTCAATCTGCACTTGAAACTCAACTTTTTTGTCTTGCATACTTTCTTCTGTTTGTTATCATTCAAATGTATCTTTCCCTCCCACACCTTGTCAGACAGACTCACATATGCATATTATGTTCTTGAGGAATCATATTCCATATCATTAAAAGTCAAGTTTATTAGCATATATGAATTGCATCATATATTTTGATAAATTATACAAAAAATAATTAATCTTGAAAATGTAAAAGATTAGATGTAAAATGAGTTTAAATAACACCTAGAGAGGTTGATTTAGAACGATCAAGACTTACTTGTATAACTTGGATGGGATATGTTCTTGATCCACTCGAATCCAAGGCTTGTTCAAGCTTTTTCTTCTTTGATCTTTCCATTGGCAGAAACTCGGTCTATTGACAAAAGTCCAAATTTTCCAGCTATAATTTTCGAGACTCGAGCTCCATTAGTTCTGCTTGGATCGTTCTCTCTTGATCTTGCAACATTTGAATATAATCAATTGCGTCTTTGATTATCGAAGCCTTATCCATCTTTAAAAAGTGTAGAGACCAAGTAGAGACAAATCCAAATCCAAACCAAAATCAATATCTTAAATAAGTATAGCAATATTAAATCCAAATTTTAAAAGTTACTAACATTACATTTTTCATAAGTAATCTATAAATTACAAGTGTTATTTACGATAACATGGACGAATTGCAAACAAGATGCATTATATGGAACAAATCATACCTTACTAATATTAGGGACCACTGCCTTAAGTGCAAAGAGCCTATCATTCAACTTCTTCCTTCTATTCCTCTCGGAGACGATATTTTTGGAGGTTGCCGATGACTAAGGTCCGTTAGGCGAGCTTGAGTAGTAGCCCGAAAACGTTTCTTCTAATATCCCCCAACTATATGATCGAATGGAATGACGTAAAACTTGGTTACGGATCAGAAGATTGAAAACCAGTGATCGAAAATAGAGAGAGATATATACCTGTTTGAAGGAAGGATCCCAGTAGACTTCCATGGAAGCATTTCAAAAGCAAATGGTGAATTTTACGGAGAAAGAGGGTGTGCTGTTCTTTTTTAAAATTAAAAGATTTTTTATTGGACTTTTAATTAGTGATGGATCTAATGTTGGGACTCTTTAAAACTAAATTAAGAAAAATATCTATTAATTTTAAAATAAATAAATATAAATATAATGTTATTCATATTATTTTAAACTTTAACAGGACACTAAAAAGTGTCCTATTAGCTTTTAAACACTAATACAACAATCAAAAGTGTCCTATTAGCTTTTAAACACTAATACAACAATCAAAAATGTCCTATTAACTTTTGAAAATAACACGACACTTTAAAATGTCCTATTAGTTTCTAAAATTATGACACATCAGAATGTCTTATTAGTCTTTTAAAATAATAAGACACTTAAAAAGTGTCCTATTAGACTCTAAAATAAATTGACATTGAAAAGTGTCGTATTAGACTTGGATGATAGGACACTAAGAAAGCTTAATAAGACAACAAAATTAAGAGTCCTACTAAACTAAATCAAATAGGACTCATAAAATAATGTGTCTTGTTATCCCTTTTAAAGGACGGGTCTTGAAAAGTGTCCCAAAATAGTGTCATATAAACCCTTTTTTGTTGTAGTGATTAAGGCTTTTTTTTTCCACCCCATATCCAAGTTTGAATCCTGTTAGTGTCATTCAAATGTTGTCACCATTTGAAAAAAAAATATGTATATTTGTTTCTTATAGTACCGTTAGAAATTTTTTTCCCTATATCTTTTTCTTATAGTAAAACGGTGCCACTGTTTGAAAAAAATTCTAGGTCCGTCCCAACATGGTTGAGCATTTGAATTTATGTTGGATAGAGACCCAAATCTGCTTTGAGGTGTCATCATTTAGAATTGTCCTTCGATCTCCTCTATCACCTTCAGTTCTGCCTCAGTTGGTTCTCTACCGGTAGCGACAACCCCATCCTCCGTCAACGTCCAATACACCTTCGCATGATGGACGTTATCCATAACGATCGAATTTGGGAATTGCTAATGGCACAAACTTGCAATTGCAGATACTACTACTCACTTTTTTATCAATTAGCCTAATACCAAATGTTAAAACTAGTTGAAGAAAACTGTATTGGAATGCTTACTTATTCAATCACATTAGAATAAATACAAAAAATAAAGTAACATAAGGCAAAAAAATCGAAGATCGTGAAAACTAAGCATAAGTTGAGGGAAAAAGTAATTTACTAAAACCTAACCAACTTATTCTTATATATATTACCATAGGGACGAAAAAATAATGTACTCAAAAATAAATTAAGGGGCCGTTTTACCAAACTTTTAGTCGTGTAAAGGCTTAGCAAGTCACATTACCTAATCGGATGAATATGACAAAAACCAAGAACCTTACGCGGCAAGAGTGAAAGCAAGGACCAAGACTTTTTTTTTGAAGTATATAATATTTATATACGGCAAATAGAACAAATAAACTCACACACCCCCCTCACCTTTGGTAAGGTTTGAACCCTTGACCTCCTAGAAAGCCAAGGACTCACATACCGCTAGGCCAAAGGCCCTTTAGTAAGGACAAGAACTCTTACCGGTAAGTTACAGGGACGACTCTTACCGGTAAGTTACAGGGACGACTCTTACTGCGGTTTAGCGCTTACCGGATAAATTGTCGCATACACTATTGTCTTTGTGAACTAAAACTTTACGCAATAAGTGATAGTGTTGAATTTTACAAGTAAGCGTGAGAAAAACGGCCCCCAAGTTAGTTCCAACTTTTTTGCAGATCTCTAATTTTCTCTACGATGTTTGCTTTGTAGTTATTGAATCCGACTAACTTGAGCAAGAACGATCGAACTCTACTTTGTAGTTCATTAGCTGATGATCATTGTCTGCATGTATTATGCACGCAAGAGGAAACACCATGTTCAGAGGTATTGCCAAATAATTTATGTCTTGCAGGATGTTGATTTTCATTAAGTTCTCTATCATATAATTAAATTGCTATTCTCCTATTTACTTTTCTTTTCTTCATTCAAACAGCAAATTTTCCAAGAAATTATAAATGTTGTAAAGAAGTGGTTAGAGTTAGTAAAAACTCATAAGATGTTTCCAAACAATCTCACCATGCTTTACCATGTTCTGGATTTGCTATCACTTAAGGTTTGTTTTCTTGTTGGCATTTGGTTAAGGAATCTGCTTGTTATTCTATAATTTTGTGTATAATATTTTGTTATTACAGGGCTACATGAGTTACCATCAATGCATCTTTTCCATCACGATTCAATATTTTTTGCTGAACAATATTTCTCGGGAAAAAATGCTTGAAGTTGCTTTGGAACTCGAGAAGTCTCGGTCATTCCCTATGTGCTTCACCGATTTGTGAACCTGTGATTGGTGAGTTCACTAAGCTTATGAAGAAATTATCAAAGCAAGCTGATCTGCCATTAGAAGTTGAATTTCATAAGAGTCTATCAGTTATGTCAACCCTTTCCTCCCCGTGTACCCAACCACTTGTGACAACCGACGACATCAAGAAGGCTGCTTCACATCGCATTAAGAGTGTATGATCCTTTGTTATATTTTATATGTTTACATATAAAATTTATCATACATATGCTGACCATAGTTCCACCACTAATATTTTAGGATCCTATATCCGGCAAATCAAGGCTTTCGGTTGCACGTGTGTATTATGACTTGGGTGAAAAATTGATTGAAAGGGGATCTATCGTTCAGACACTTAATGTGTACATTTTTCAAGTTAACTTGTAGTTGACATAATAAATATACTTGATACTCGTTTCAAAGAAGTTGGCCAACTGGTTTCATTTAAAATAGCTAACTACAAAGTCTTAATCAATTCTCTTTAGGATCTTATTTTTGCAAAGAAAGCCGAAGGTTTGCGTGCCAAGCTTTTTTCAGAATATTTTGGATACACAACAAAGCTACAAGAAGCAATCTACGTTCTTGGTGGACATTCCAACCAGACACACAATGTTGTCATTGATAATATCCACATCCATAGTTCAATGGTTAGTGTCGCTTGGCCATATGATAGGGATTCAAGTGACGTTGAGGACTACATTCGGACTCCATGAAATGTACTTCGATGTTATCTGAAAAGCAAGTTTATGTGAGTTTTTCAATATTTTAGGGCTCGTTTCCACAACCCTTAACGGGTAAGCGCTTAACGGTAAGATTCAACACTTTCACTAAAACTTATAGGGTAAGATTTTAATCTACTAAAAACGACATTGTATGCAACATTTTTATCAGGTGGCCAGTAAGATTCAACACATTCTCGCTTAACTTACCGGGTAAAATTTTAATCTATTAAAAACGACATCATATGCAACATGTTTATCTGGTAAGCGCTACAGGGTAAGAGTCATCACTCTCACTTGCCGGGTATGATTTTCGGTCTTTGTCATTGCTCTTATCGGGAAGATTCTAAATCCTTTTCATGTTCATTTATAATGTAAGCACATAAGCGGCTCTTAGTTTTACGTCGGGTTCAAACTTCTTTTATTTTATTTAGATTCTTGCTATATCTTTGTATAATGTAAATTATGTAGGAACTCTTCAAGAAATCATTGGAAATAGATATGAAGCTACTGATACTTTAGAATGGGGGAAGCGAATCGCTATTCTCAAATGCTTGCCAATCTTCATGGTTAATTTTACTTTTGTTCTAGGTATGCACTTGTTTACTTTTATTCTCGTCATGTTTGTGCTTTGGTTGATGACTGTAAAGTCAATAGGTATGTGATTGAATTTATGCTTGTCATTTTCAATAAAAATCTTCCAGAAGCATCAAATGTGGGATTTAGTTAATGGTGAACTACAACGTGCTGTCGAAACGTTGTCCACCAATGGCGCTATGGTTTCTTGTATATAGTGTAAGCTGATTTTGGAAGCTAAACTCTACCAGCAACGTGGCAACTTCTTCCGACGCTGTTCCATCACCACTAGTGGTTTTGAGCGATTACCCGAGGCCCTAGACTTTTATAGGCTTGGTAAAGGCAAGATGGAGGCCAACATATGGAGTAATTGCATTAGCACCGCAAAGGAAGAGAACGCAAGCAACACAACTTTATGTGATGCTCTTTTTGCTTCTGAGAAAATTGTTAGGAGGTCATTCGAATGTCTAGGGAAGAGAGTAAAGGAAGTTTCATGTGATGAAGTGAAGTGTTGGCACTGTTTTCCTTCTGAAGTTAAGAAATCTTCACTGCAAAGCATTATAAATATGGATTGGGAGTGTATCCACAGGCGCCTTTGCTTAAACTACTCAATGGGATTGATATGATAAAAAAAAATATCTTGAAAACCCTGTTGTTTGGCATTTTAAAATTGCGCAATGTATTTGTCCATATTTAAAATGCCAAACAGAGTTTTCAAGACATTTTTATCATACCTATCCCATTGAGTAATCTAAGCAAAAGGCACATGTGGGTACAATCCCATTCCATATCTATAACGCTTTGCAACGAAGGTTTCTTAACTTCACAAAGAAGACAATGCCAACCCTTTACCTCATCACAGAAAACTTCCTTTACCCCCCCCTTCCCTTGACATTCAGATGACCTCCCAACAATGTTCTCAAAAGCAGAAAGAGCATCACATAAAATTATGTTGCTTGCACTCTCTTCCTTTATAGTGCTAACACAATTACTCCATATGTTATCCTCCAGCTTGCCTTTACCAAGCCTATAAAAGTCTAGGGCCTCGGGTAATCGCTCAAAACCACTAGTGGTGATGGAACGGCGTCGGAACAAGACGCCACGTTGCTGGTAGAGTGTAGCTTCCAAAATCATCTTCCACTTCATACAAGAAACCATAGCACCACTAGCAGACAACATTTTGTCGGCAAGTTGTAGTTCATGAGCAGCTGATCCATGTTTGATGTTTCTAGAAGAGTTTCAATGAAAATGACTAACATAAATTCAATCAGATACCTATTGACTTTACAGTCGTCAACCAAAGCACAAACATGACAAGAGCAAAAGTAAACAAGTGCATACTTAGAACAACTTAACCACGAAGATTGGCAAGCATTGAAGAATAGCGATTTGTTTCCCCCATTCTATAGTATCAGTACTTTCACATCTATTTCCAATAATTTGTTGAAGAGTTCCTACCTAATTTACATATACAAAGATATAGCAAGAATCTAAATAAATTAAAAAAAAGTTCAAACCGGACGTAAAATGTAAAATTAAGGGACGCATATGGGCTTACCTTATAAATGAACATGAAACGAATTGAGAATCTTCCCCGATAAGAGCATGGCAAGGACCGAAAATCGTACTCGGTAAGTGAGAGTGATGACTCTTACCCCGTAAAGCTTACAGGATAAAATGTTGCATATGATGTCGTTTTTAAAAGATTAAAATCTTACCTGATAAGTTAAGCGAAAGTGTGTTGAATCTTACTAGTCACCTAATAAAAATGTACATACAATGTCGTTTTTAATAGATTAAACTCTTACCTTGTAAGTTCTAGTGAAAGTGTTGAATCTTACCATTAAGCGCTTACCGGGTAAGAGTTGCGTAAACGAACCCTAAATATTGAAAAACTGACCTCAAGCTTGCTTTTCAGATAACGTCGAAGTACATTCCATGGAATTAGAATGTAGTCCTCAATGTCACTTAAATCCCTATCATATGGTCAAGCGGCACTAGCCACTGAGCTATGGATGTGAATATTATCAATGACAACATTGTATATCTGACTAGAATGTCCACCAAGAACATAGATTGCTTCTTGTCGCTTTGTTGTGTATACAAAACATTCTGAAAAAAGCTTGGCACGCAAACTTGCGGCTTTCTTTGCATTAGTAAGAGCCTAAAGAGAATAAATTAAGACTTTGCAGTTAGATATTTTAAATGAAACCTGTTGGCAAACTTTTTTGAAATGGTTATCAAGCATATTTATTATGTCTAACTACAAGTGAACTTGAAAAATGTACACATTAAGTACCTCAACCAAAGATCCCCTTTCAGTCAATTTTTCACCCAAATCGTAATACACACGTGCAACCAAAAGCCTTGATTTGCCGAATATAGGAGCCGAAAATATTAGTAGTGGAACTAAGGTCAGCATATGTATGATAAATTCTATATGTAAACATATAAAATATAACAAAGATCATACACTCTTAATGCGATGTAAATCAGCATTCTTGATATCGTCGGTTGTCACAAGTGGTTAGATATACGGGGAGGAAAAGGTTGACATAATTTATAAACTCTCACGAAATTCAACTTCTAATGGCAGGTCAGCTTGCTTTGATAATTTCTACATAAGCTCAGTGGACTCACCAATCACACGTTCACCAATCGGTAAAGCACGTAGGGAATGACCGAGACTTCTAGAGTTCCAAAGAAACTTCAAGCATTTTTCCCTAGGAATATTGTTCATCAAAAAAAATCAAATCATGATGATAAAGATGTGTCGATGGTAATTCATGTAACCCTATAATAACAAAATACTATACACCAAGTATATAATAACAAGCAGATTCTATAACCAAATGCCAACAAGAAAACAAACCTTGAGTGATAGAAAATTCAGAACGTGGTAAAACATGGTGAGACTATTTGGAGACAGCTTATGAGTTTTTACTAACCCCACAATATCTTGAAAATTTTGCTGTTTGAACCAAGAAAAGTAAATAGAAGAATAGCAACTTAATTACATGATAGAGAACTTAATGAATGAAAATCTACATCGTGCAAGGCATAAATTATTTGGCAATACCTTTGAACGTGGTGTTTCCTCCTGCGTGCATAATGCACGCAAACAATGAGCATCAACTAATGAACTACAAAGTAGAGCTCGATCGTCCTTGCTCAAGTTAGTCGGATTCAATAACTACAAAGCAAACACCGCAGAGGGTGAAAATTAGAGATCTGCAAAAATGTTGGAACCAACTTAGGGGACATTTTCCACACACTTAACGGGGTAAGCGCTTACCTGTAAAATTCAACACTATCACTTACTCATTGGGTAAGGTTTAGTCCACCAAAACAGTAGTGTATGCAACAATTTACCTGGTAATAGCTAATCGTGGTAAGAGTCGTCGCCATCACTTACTAGTAAAAGTCTCGATACTTGCCTTCGCTCTTACCGCGTAAGGTTCTTGGTTCTTGTCATATTCATCCGTAAGGTAATGTGACTTGCTAACCTCTTACCCAAGTAAAAGTTTAGTAAACGGCCCCTTACAATTACTTGTAAAAAGTTGATGTTTTCTTAATACCTATAGGAAGTTCAGAAGATTCAAGTCCTAGTTTCTTATTCAACAAGAGTTCCGTCAGTTCATGGCAATGTTTTTGGGACCACACCACTATTGACAAAGTAGCACCCATCTTCAAAGCGATTATAGAGGAATCTACCAAGGATGCGGAGGAGGATAATCCAGAGAGCAAGTCGGTGTGGAGGACTAAAAGAAGACAGCTTGATCAATGCCTAGGTGATCTTCTAAGGTGAGAGTTGTGGAATATTATCCGCAATTGTTATAGTTCGTCAATAGGGTCATGTACCGCGAACAAGTAATTCTCTTGGGTTGCTATTAATGCATATACATATATATAAATTATAACTTGTGTTTCTTTCTTTCTGCATGTAATAAAGAGACCCTTGAATCATAATTTCACTATCTACAAACTTTTCTTACGTCTAAATACAATCATAGTTGGATATGACAGTATAAGTTTCTCCTTTCTGCAGTAACGCACAAAAAAAATGGTTTCGCCCTTGGACATACTTGCTTTTGAGGGACAGTCAGAACCTGCAAGCTCTTTGATTCTCTACTAAAGAAACTGAGAAAGGATCTGCAATCCAAGTGTGGAAATGATGTGCATGAAAGCATTCTCAAATTAGTAATTGGAGGTGACTCACAACGAGTAGAATGCCTATCAAAGCTGATTCTGAAAAAAGGATGCTATGTTGGTGGAATAGAATCTTCTAGCAAGCAAGAGGGAGCTGAAACGTAGTATCCAAACTGATTGCAGATGCAATCAGAAAAATTAAAGAGAAAGGTTTTTACAAGGAGAACCTGTTATATCGGTGCTGGACCTTGACATTCAGGTAGTCCTCATACTGTTTGTGCACGTATTTGGGAGCTGGTGCCTGTTCATCTATGGAGCAATACCCACTATATTAATTTGTTTACAGGTTGTGTTGCTTCTTTCTTATAAGAAAATGCCTAAGACAGAGCCTAGTTAGATAACCTTCTAGCAGCTTCGATCTAGAGTGTCATGTTAGGCAGGATTGACATTGTGATACAGCCTTATAAGCTCTATTTTTAGTTTCTTTCTGGCTTGTTTCTAAGGTCTTCTTGTTTTTGGTTCCATCTCTTTGGTAATATGAGCACGTTTTCCTGCTGCAGATGCTACCAAAGGGAAAACATCCCAGGATTAAGATACGAGGTCTATCGCATGCTTTCTGTTGCCGGTATTTTGTACACATATGGCAGATGTCACCATTATCGGCAAAAGGTTGGTACGGAATATGCAGGCTTCCCTATGATTGATCCACTGGATGCATACTATTTGTTGAATCCAGGCGGTGACTGTAAGGATATAGAAGCTTTACTTGGGAATTTGCTTAATGATAAAATTTTGGAGGCAAGTGTTTTTATTTTTTGTCAGGTCACTTTGGAGGAACTTACAGAAAGATACACACAGAGAAATTAGAAGAAAAATACTTGCATAGCCAAATCTATGCAGAAACTAGGGTTACAGAGTTGATAAGATTTACCTTTTCACGAAGACAGGTCTCGACTAACTTTGGCCGAGGCCTCTATAGGCAGAGAGCTTCTTCTCCACTGAGCCGATGATGATGATGATGATGATGATGATGATGATGATGATGATATCAATAGAGGCTGAATCAAGAGCTTCCGCTGCTGCTAAAAACTCGAATAAGTCAAACAAACACTACCGACTACACTGAATTAAAGCTTTGCAGTTGGATTTACTTGGATTCAAAATCTTACCCGGAATTAGAATCGCCATTGCAGTTGTAGGGGAAGCAAGATGCGACACAGGAAGAGTGGTGGACGAAGGCTAAACATTAAAAGTAGAAAACCAATGATAACTGTCAACAACAAAACATAACACATAAAAACAAAGCGAAAGCAAAAAAGAAAGGATTTTCAGGAATTCATTAACCTTTCCAACCAATCGCCTCCTTATTCCTCGAAAAGTTGTATAATGTGCTTTCTAGTTATGCAAATAAGAAAACCATCTAAACTTTCACCCTCAAACTCAACACAACAGCTCTAAATAATGGTACATGGATTTACCTAAAAACATTGATAGGATGATACATATAAGAACTTGGGTTTTATAATTGAGCAAAAGAAAATCAAATATATAAAAATAACCATCACCTATAAATGGTCTTGGAGATGGTTCCATAGCAGGTTTGTAATAGTAAAAAACACCTACATGATGTTGGACGATAAAGAAACTTCATAAGAATAAGGATATGCTAATTGATGCAAGTGCATAAATCTTATGCAATAATAACAAAGTCACGTAAACTAACCCGATAAGAAAAAGAGTGCTACTTGAATGGTACCACTTGATTGAAATTTTGTTAGCTTAAGCCATAATTATGGGATTGCAACAGCAAAAAACTTTCTATTGCTAATCAATACTAAAAAATAATTTTAGGATTGCAACAGAAAAAAGCTTTCCAATGCTAATCAATACACCCATACCTGAAAGAGATCAAGAATGCCTTTAAGCACGAAAAAACAAAGGATCGATGGGAAAAAACAAGGGATCGAGGAAGGTTTTTATAATCGTGGGTGTTTAGGCTAGCTTACGCGAATCTCAGAATTCAACAGGTCCTAAAGTTAACAGCTAGACAAACCTCAATGGCTTCCAAGGACTTTGAATGGTGGAGAGCAAAGTTACGGTCTTCCCAGTGTAGCTACCCCAAGGTCTTGATTTAGAGTGATGGAGATAGAATCTATATTTTGAAGCAACATTACTACCATTGGTATCTATTGAAGACTAAAAACACTGTCTATGGGGAAAAAGGACCAAAGTACCCTCGTCTTCTCCATCTCCCTGCTTTTCTAAAATCCTAGCATTAAGAATTTAAAAAGAGTTAAATCATTGTGATTAATAAATACCCACCATCAAAGCAACAGCCGCATCTGCAAAATATGAAAACCTCACTCGCAGGTGCAAACAAGAAAATATTAACATGAAAACCTAAACACGCAAAGAGTTAAACAATATTGGCATCCATTGCATTTCTGAATGGATTTTAACCGCTTATAAAATCCTGTTTTTCAACCCGATTGGAGATACTCAAGTTCTGATTCTATTAAGATATACCCATAAAAATGTGCAATGTTTCTACTGTCTTTTTTGTGATTTCACGATTTAAACATAGAAACCCAAATCATAAAGAACTCAACTAAAATAAGAAGAGATGAAGTTCTAGACATGAACTCCCTTGTATCAGACGAACTTGGAGCCTCCTGACCGATGGATATAGAGAGATGCAGTGCCGCCTTAAACAACAAGAAATGGGACGCTCTGGTTATTGGAGGTAGAACTCAAACACAAAATTGGAGAATATCTGCAGAGATGGACCTGTAAGAACGATCAATAGTGAATCGAGATTAGAAATCAAGAGTTAGGGTTTTCGTACGTTACCTCATCGAAGAACAAATTGAAATGAAAGAAGTTATTTTAGATGTCTAGGAGAGAATTGATGGTCAAATTCTGTGAAGAAGAAGAAAGGGTTTGGTTGCATATACAGAAGAAGAAGAAAAGAAAGCTTAAATCGGTTATTTTAGATGTCAGAGGAGAGAAAGGACAATTTACTTCATTAGGATTGTGTGTTGTACGAAACACAGATGTCAGAGGAGAGAAAG